TCCGACCCCGGGCCCCCTCCCCTGGGTCCCCTCTGCCACCCCAGGTTCCTCTTCCGACCTGGGTCCCCCTTTCTCACCTCGGGTCCCTCCTTCGACTCCGGTCCCCCCTCACCCCGGCCCTTTCCTCCCACCCCGATTCCTCCTCCGACCGGGGCCCCCTCCCTCCGCGGTCCCAGGCCCCGACCTCCTCCTCCTCCTTTCTCCGGGGCGGGTCAGCACCCTCCCTCCCTCCTGCCGGTCTTCTGCCGCATGGTTCCGGCTCTCCCCAGGAGCCCTTGGCCTCCCCTTCCCCGCGGCCCTAGGCCGGGCGTTCCTCTTAGGGGTCCCGTTCTCCCTGAGTCCACCCTCCACCCCTCCCGACGACGGTCAGTCAGGCTCCCCCACATTCCAAGGACTCGCCCACCCTCTCGCGTCCCTCCTCCTGGGTCCTCAGCTTCCTCCCCCGCCCTCCTGGCTGGACCCCCGTGCTGCGCCCTGTCTCCCTCATCAGGGTCCCCCTCATCAGGGTCTCCTCGCCTCCCTTCGGCCTCGTTTGACTTTGGCGTCTTTTGGGGGCTCCCATGCCACCATCCCTCGTCTTCTGGACCGAGCCCCGGGGGTTACATTTGTGAGCTGGGGCAGTTTCAGCTCTGTCTTTTTGGAAGTAGAGGAGCATGGGCACAGGCAACCACCGCACTGGGCCTGTTTCCACGTGACTCTGTCCTGGGTGGGGATTTGACTGTGGCACTGGGCTGCCTGGGCATCCCTCCTGACTCAGAGCTTCTGCTTCCCCAAGCACTCACGCTGGCTGAGACTTGTTATTGTCGGAGAAGCTGTTGGGTGTGACCCACCACGCGTGAAGAGTCGTGCTGGAGGGCCAGCCCTGGCCGCTGGCAGAGCCCAGGCGCAGATGGCAAACCCAGCTCCAGAGAGAGGCTGTTTCCCAGCGGCTCTCTCAGGAGTCTTTCCCACAGGGAGGGGTGCTACAGCTGGGCAGGGGTGCAGCTTGGGGTCTCGCCTCTTGATGTCTGCCCGAACTCCGCTCAGACACCCAGCAGGACGGCCCCCGAGATCCACCTTCAGACTCCCACAGAAGCAGCGGGTTAAAGCTAGGGAGTCTGTGTGGCAGGCCCTAAATTTTACTGTTTCTACCCAAAATGAAGTGAGCTTTTATGAGGCTGTGGCCTTTAATATTTTATGTGGGTGTACTGTCATGGGTCCTCTTCAGCGTGTTCTGTTGCTTTTGGCCTTTGCAACCCTGAAGACATTATTACGGGTAATGCGTTAGTTTTCATCTGTCCCTTGGGAGAAGGGAATAGCTTTGATAAAGTGACATGTGTATCCCAGCTTCCCCCCCCAAAATAATCCAGGGGGGTCAGGAGAAGTATGTGGTGGCACAGACAAGACAAATCGCCCTGAGATGTGACAGTGGAAGCTGGGTGGTGTCTTGGCATGCTGCTCTGTCCTGTCTATGGTTGTGCGTGTGAAGCCTTCCCTCGTGAAATCGCACTGAGAATTCTAAGTCATTTTGGTTTTTGTTTATCTGAATAGTAAGACATTTAATACTTAAATGAAAATGCCCGGGAAGCCCTTACTGTCAGTAGCTTGCGGGTAAAGGGTCTTCCTTCCCTTCAGATGATTTCAAGCCAGCGTCTATCGACACTTCCTGCGAGGGAGAGCTCCAGGTCGGCAAAGGAGATGAGGTCACCATCACACTGCCGCACATCCCTGTGAGTCATGTCCTTGGGGTTTCTTTCACTGCAGGGCCACAAGGGATCCTTTTATGTTTTTGCCATGTAGACTTCCTAATGTTGAACAAGTCCTCGATTTCCAAATTAACAACATCAGTAAAAAAGGAAGTGGGGTGGGGTGGGGTGGGGTGGGGTCCTGCTGCCCAGTGCTTGACTGGATGATTCCCTGTCGACCCCAGACTTCCTTTCCCCACTAGCTGCTGGGTAGATGGGGTTCCTCTCTGTTCCCCTAGCCACTCTGTTAGGCACACGTAGCTTTCCTCCCAAGCGCCTCCAGAGGGGGAAGCCCCAGGTGCCCTGCAGATGGCTCAGGAGCGGGGGCAGGAGCAGGCCTGGCCTGCGTGTTTCTGGCAGAGTCAGGAGGGGCTGCTCGTCTCAGGGGAGCCTGCGGCTGGTTCAGGGTTGAGGAGCTCCGAAGCTGGACAGGAACCTTGCAGAGAAGGACTTGGGAAGCCCCGCCCCAGGCAGCACTGTGGTCATGAGGGTCACGTGACGCTCTTGATGGCCGTGTGTCATCGCGTGTCCCAGCCCTGTCCTAGAACAGAGTGGGTTGTTGGCAGCTGGTGACAGAATGAAAAGGCTCTGGCCGTGGCAACCTGGGACGCTCTACCTGCCTGTCAAGCTGCCATCTCATTACTTGCTGCCCTGGGCAGGTCACGTCATCCCCCAGGAACGTTGGCTTCCCAAACGGAAAGTGCAAGGGTCGGATCCACGGTCACCACAGGCCCTCCTCACTCTCTGTTTCTGCCTCATGATACTGTGTGAACAGTAGATTTTGCTTCAGGAGGCATCAAGTGCTATAGCCAACAAATGTGAGTAGATCGCCTGCCTGTACTGACCTGCTGCCTGGACTGAGGATACAGCTGGAGCAAAACAGCCACACTTGCCCTTGTGGAGCATATGGCCTGGAGTTTTAATAAACACACGAAAATGTAGTGTTCGTCCCAGAAAAATCAGGGCAGGCTTCCGTAGGGAAGTAAGTTCTGAACAGATCTGAAGGCTGGAGCGTGCCAAGAGAAGGGCAGGATGGAGCAGACCGAAGCCTTGCGAAAGCCCAGAAGCAAGAAAGAGCTTAGAGGAAAGATACGGGAGAGGAGCCAGCGGCCTCTGCTGTGCCAACACGGAACCCGGCGTGTTGTGCAGTGTGAAGTGGCAGAGCGGGTGTGGGTTAAGGGCTCCCCCTTGGCCTGGGAGTAGCAGAGGCGCAAGAGGGGCTCGGGCAAGTGAGGGGGTGGCTTGTTCACTCGAGCTGCTTCTGGAGACGAGAGGGGCCTGCCTCCGATGTAAAGAAAGCCAAGGTCACTCGTAGCTGACTGCACCTGGGGTGGCTCTGCATGGTGGCGTGGTGTCGAGCACGTAATGGCTTGCTTACTTGCCTCGGCTCAGATTTCCCTGTTACTTGCAACTTTTCCTCAGGCCCTTAGAAACACACGCAGTAACTTAAATCTGTTTGATTGCCTTTCCTGTGTACTTAGAACCAGTTGCTTGGTCACAGATTCTTGCTGTGCTATTATTTCTCTTTCCTTTGGCCTGGAAATCTAGAAGGAGTTAAGATAGAAAAGAGCTGGACGTGGTGGCTCATGCCTGTCATCCCAGCACTTTGAGAGGCCAAGGTGAAAGGATTGCCTGAACTCAGAAGTTCAAGACCAGCCTGGGCAACTTGGTGAGAACTCAGCTCTACAGTGAATCAAAAAGTCAAATGAGCCGGGCGTGGTGGCACACGCCTGTAGTTCCAACTCCTTGGAAGGCTGAGGCAGAAGAATCGCCTGAGCCCAGGAGGTCAAGGCTGTGGTGGCCATGAGTATGCCACTGCACTCCAGGCTGAGAGACAGGGTGAAACCTGACTCAAAAAAAAAAAAAAACGAGCAAGCTCATCCTGATCTTTTCGGATAGCTCAGCCAGGAGACTTAATCAGGGAGGGTCGGCTGTCAGCTCGGTTTCAATACTGGTGACTGTTGATGTGTCTCATGCTTCTGGGCACACAGGGGTCCACCCCACCGATGACAGTGTTCAAGGGCAACAAGCGCCCGTACCAGAAGGACTGCGTGCTCATCATCAACCACGACACGGGCGAGTGCGTGCTGGAGAAGCTCAGCAGCAGCATCCAGGTCAAGAAGACCAGGTGCGTGGGCGGGGCTGGGACGGCGGGCCATGTCTGTGTCACCTGTTTCATGCTTGCCAGGTCATGAACCGCCAGGCACGCGGGGATGGCAGGATCTGTGCCTGTGTCACCTGTTCCGTTCTTGCTTGGTTGTGATCCGCCAGGCACATGGAGACAGCACGGGGCACACCTATGTCACTTGTCCCGTTCTTACCTGGTTGTGAATCACCAGGCACATGGGGATGGCAGGGTCTATGCCGATGTCACCCCTGACATTCTCATCCTGTTGTGAACCACCAGGCACACGGGGGCAGCACGTTGCATGCCCGTGTCACCCATTCCATTCTTACCCAAGTGGACATCTGCTAGCCCAGGGTGTCCTGTTGATAATCTTCACTTCACCTCCATCTTCTCAGACAGATCACTAAAATACTTTCTCCTCAAATGCAGTAAAAAAAAAATACGTTTGTTTAAATGTGTGTTTGTTTAAAGATCTAAAAACAGGAACCGCTGGGGGAGGGAAGTACCTTGGGACTCAGGTGGTTTCTGCGTCTCGTGATTGTTGACCTGGCGTCACCTGAGGGAGAAGATTAGTAGGCTTGGAATGACGGAGGAGCAATTGAGCACTGCGCTTTATTAAGGGGAAAACGTTCATTCTGTTTATAAGGTGCATTTGAGGCCACTGTGATGCCACAATAACATTTTCCCTGGTTTTTAGAGTAGTAAACTCTTCGGTTCAGCAGATACGATGTGTCTAAGGCGAAGCCACTTAGAGTTTATTTGAAGGTCAGAGTTCATCCTGTAAAAGGAAGTAACCAGGTGGTTCTCTTGGTTCCGTTCAAACTCAGCAATGAGCCTGCTCTGGGAGTAGCATGTGGAGGGGTGGCCCCCCCAACGTCTTTCTGCTTGTGCCTCCTCGGCCATTTTACTTCATTTGCTGCTTCCACAGAAAACGAGAACAGTAGCCATGGGTGGAAGACTTGGCATGTGCCCGGTGTTTTACATGTGCTTTCTAATCTTGCGAGCAATTCTCAGAAAGGAGCCATTATCCTTCGAGACAGACAAGCCGGCAGGGTGGAACAGGCGCGCAAGATGAGACTCCCAGTGTCCAGTGCGGGAGGGAGGCCGTTGGACGCGCCGCTGTGCCTGGGCTGCCCTGCCTCTGTTCACCTGTGCTCGTCACTTCCCGGGCCCAGGAGCTGCTGCTGCCCTGCAGTGCCCAGTGGCCGTGGTCCACCCGCTCTGTGCTTGGTGTGACTGTCTGGGCTCTTGTGAACCACATAGAACCTCGAGAGCGCTGGCCTGAGCCTGCAGAGCTCAGAGGACCTGCCTCGTGCTGAGGCTTGAGCACTGGGCTGTCCGTGTGCGGAAGTGGTGCTTAGTGGACAGGCTGTCCTCAGCGTGAGGGACCTGCTTGTCCACGGTGAGAGCTGGCGTGTGGGAAAGTGAGCATGGGCGTTGGGTGACGGAGGAGTGTGCGTGTCCAGAACTTTAAGAGCTGGTTCATTTAGGGGCTAACGCACAAGCATGCCTTACTATTGCACACGCATCAGAGGGTCCTGCGGTCATGTACTGCGAGATGGCATTTTATACAGCAGTGGTCCCACAGGTGACCAGGTATACATGGAACCCCGGTGTGTGGCACTTGCTGTAGGCATTGCAGAACAAGCAGGGCAATGACTGATGTCAGCAATGCTGCAAGGACGTCTGGTTTCCATGGGGAAAAGGGTGTGCTGTGTGCCCTCTGGGCTTGTGCCAGTGCTGTGATGTTTGCACAACAGAGGCGCCTAACCATGTGGTTCTCGGACTGGGCCTCGTCATGCATATGCGTGACTGTCTTTCTCCGTATAAACGGATCCTCGTCATTGCGTCGCCTCCTCCCTGTGTGGGCTTGTTGCTGTGATGCATGTTCCTTGACCAGCAAGTCTCTCTCACCTATGTCTGAGTCCCTGGTGTGTAGTCCGGTGCGTAGTCCAGTGCAGGCGTGCTGGGCCACTAGGGTGCTGGATGTGTGGTTCCCTTGGTGAAATGACAGATGCGGAGAGTCTGCAGTGATCTGCAAGGACCTGGGGCTCTGAGAGACTTCTGAGCGCTTGGCTGCGTGGGTGACATGAAAACCACGCTTTTGCTCCTCCGTTGTCACATCTGTGTCTCCTTGCAGGGCTGAGGGGAGCAGCAAAATTCAGGCTCGGATGGAGCAGCAGCCCCCACGTCCCCCTCCGCCGCCGCCGCCTGTGCCGTTCAGAGCGCCTACAAAGCCTCCAGCGGGGCCCAAGACCTCCCCGCTGAAGGATAACCCCTCACCTGAGCCGCAGCTGGATGACATCAAGAGAGGTAGGTGGCATTCCCTGGAGCTGTGGTGCAGCTGGGAGTGGAGCATCAGTGTCCTTGCAGAGGCCACGGGCTGCTGTGGGGACATGGTGCCCACAGAAACATTCCTGCCGCTCGCGGTGCTGAGGGTGGGCTGAACCACCTCGCCCATCTGGCCAGGATGAGTCCTGGGCAGCGAGCTGAGCCGGGCTGTCTTGGCAGCATTCTGCCTAGAGGCCTGGCGGTTACGGGTATGACTGCCACCAGAGCTCCCCGCGGCACAGCTCTGCGGCTTCGAGGAGGAAAGGCTCCTGAGTAGGGAGAAGTGAAGGCCAAGTGCTTCCGGGCTGTCGGTGTGGTGGCCACGTGGCGGGGCCGGGCAGAGTGGTGCACAGCTGCCGTCACAGCTACTTGGGAGGCTGAGGCAGAAGGATCACTGGAAGCCAAGATTAAAGTCACAGTGTGCTATGATCGTGCCTGTGGGTAGCGTCTGCACTGCAGCTTGTGCAGTGTAGTGAGACATGGTCTCTTTAAACAGAAGCAGACTGGGGACCACTTAAAATACCACCACCAGCCATGGGAGTATAAATCCGGCAGGCCTCTAGGGCCAGTGGACACAGGCAGTAGCTGGCGGGAGTCAGAGGTCCAGCCTGGCTTTCTCCCCTTGACCTTTTCACTGCACTGGATGATCTGAGTCCTCCAGACTCTAGGGGGTGCTGAGGCTGGGTCACATTTTGTGTTGGCAAGTCTTAAAAACAGAATGAACCCCGTGGTGCTAGTAGACGGAGAGACCAGAGCCGTGCTCGGGAAGGCTGCTGAGCTGCGGACAGGCGCCTATCCCCTGTGAAGAGGCTGCCTCTTAGCATACAAGTCCCTGCGCTGCGCGCTGTGGCGTTCCCTTGCGGGTGGAGCAGTGCCCCCAAGGAAGCACCCTGAGGCCGGCAGGAATTAGGCCCTGGGTGCATGCTTGTTGCCAAGGAAGCTTAAAGGAGCCGCAGGCGTTGGAGGCCGGTGGGGCGTCTGCGCAGGACCGTCTGGTGCCTTCCTGAATGTCCTGTGACGTGTCCTTCACATTCCCTCCCCCACTTCACATGTGTGAGACGCAGCGGCTATGAGGGGTGGGAGGAGTGCTCTGGCCTGTGTTTTCCTGGGTGGCTGGAGAGTCCTGGACTCCCTGGGCGCAGGCCGCGGAGAGGTGGATGCGTGCGGGGTTTGCGTCCCCGCTCCCAGCAGGTGGCGCTCAACCCCTGAGTGTGCTGCCCCTCCTCTTTGGGAATTACGGTCTCATCCCGGGTTCAGTCTTCCTTTTTTTGAGAGCCAAAGGCAAAATAGGCTGAGTTTGTTTCTCGGGCAGAACAGACTGTCCTGAGGCACAGCTCCAGCGTGCTTCGGGTGAATGGAGCGAGACCATTGTCCCTGGAGACGGGCCTCCTTGCCTGCTGGGTTGGCCTTGGCTGCCTTGTGTGTTTTGGGGTCCGAGCGCAGGCTCTGTGGCGGCTCGCACCCGAGGGCGCCGGCCCTGTGGGCACCCGAGCCTGGCCTGGAGAGCCCGGCATCGACCGCGCCGTGTCTTCTAGAGCTGCGGGCCGAGGTGGATGTGATCGAGCAGATGAGCAGCAGCAGCGAGAGCTCCTCGGACTCCGAGAGCTCCTCGGGAAGCGACGACGACAGCTCCAGCAGTGGCGAGGGTGCTGCCGCCTCCCCGCCGCCGTCCCCGCCACAGCCCTGCAACAGCAGGCCCGTGGCCAACGGCACCAGCCGGCTGCCTGGGAGTGCGCAGCTCATGAACACCCTTCGTAAGTGAAAACTTGCCTGTAATCTTGAAGGGGCATCTGGCACGACGTCCGCATCTCAGGCAGAGCCCACAGTCTGGGGAAGGCCCTCCCGGTGGGGAAGTCTTGAGATGACAGGCAGCCGAAAGGAGCGTGCTCGAGTGGTAGGGAAGCGGAGCTCAGGCTGGAGGGCGATTCTTCTCCTTCCTGTGCCCCCTGGGCGCACGTGAGAGCCTGCGAATCCTAGGAGGCGCTAGCATGTGACAGATAGGCCCATGATGTTGCTTTTACCCCCGGCTTTAGGGGAGTCACCCGCCACAACCACTCCCGCCTCCGGGTCTCACCGAAAGGGCCGGCTGTCTCCAGACGGCCTGGTTGTCTGCGTGTCGCCTTTCAGCTGTGTTTGGGGACCTGCCAACCTCTGGCAAGGGAGAAAGGGGCGAATGACGTTTGGGTGGCTCAGTGCAATTGGCACTAAAGTAAATCAGGGAAACAAGATCAGAAATTCCTCTCGGCGATGGGGGCGGGCTGCCGTGCGAGGCCTTCCTCTCTCCGCAACCACGATGTTCTCCCCCGGTGCATGGTCCTCCAGCAGGGGAACTATCTGGAGACAGTGTGGGAAGCTCACCTGGCTAGTCTGGCTGTCTTGGCCTGGCGGGGACCGTCTCTTCCTTGGCACTGTGGTCATTTGGATCTTGATGGTAGGGGCTGTCCTGTGCATCGTCAGGTGTCCACAGCCTCCCCGGCCTCTGCCTCCGGTAGCCCGTTCCCACCCCACCCCCTTGTGGGTCAGCCAGAGACGTCTCATGGAACACAGACGCAGGAGGTCAGGCATCACACAGGTTGTAGTTAGAAAAGGGATGACCTCAGGGCTGGGACCCCACCCCCAAAAGGGTCTCAAGGCCTCCATGTCCACAGAAGAGGCTTTGAGAAGAACTGGCCTGGAGGTCAGCACTCCCGCAGAATGGGTGTTCACTCGTTTCCCCCAAGTGCTCCTGTCGTGGGTGGTGGACACGCCAAGTGCCGTGCTCTCACTCCTGTTCTTGGCACAGCACACGGGCAAGGATCTGGCCTTGGTGAGATGGGTTCGTTCAGGTTGGCCCTGGCAGAGCCTCGCAGGGCCTGTGGCTCCCGGGACAGCACCCAGTGTCCTGGGGAGCCTGGAAGGGTGTTTTCTCAGCTTCTGGGAAGCAACTGAATGCAGACAGTTCTACCATGTGCTGAGTCCATTGCTCATCGATCTTTCCTTGCTGTTAACACATTCGAAAGCAATCTCGCCTGCTACTGCCTCATCCTGTCCCAGTAGGCAGCACTGCTGGGCTTTGCAGATACTACAAGCAGCATCTCTTGAAAACGTCAGCTGCACCAGTTTTTCCACCCAGCCCTATGGGTTTTCTTCCCTGAAGTTGAATCACCAGATTCCCCTGCAGGGATGGCCAGGGCAGGCAGCCAGCCACTCAGGCAGACGTCACTTTTAAACTCCGTGCTTCTGGATTGATGTTATTGACTTTTCTGTTTTGTTTTTTGTAGGGAATGACTTGCAGTTGAGTGAATCTGGCAGTGACAGTGACGACTAGGGCGGGCTCTGCAGAACCTGTTTTCAGTGTGCACATGCCGCAGCTGGCTCGTCAGCGTGGATTCGCCGCGGGAGGCGTGTGGAGCAGTGATTGTATAGGGCCTTGGACATGCAAGTCCAGGCTCCTGGTGGTGGTGACTTTCTCATAGTAATTTTTGAGCAATCTCGTGTTTGAAGTTTTAAGTAGACCCATAGAAGAGTTAACAGAATCATGTTTGTATTTAGTAGCATTGCTAGTGAAAGTCAGGTGCCTGTCCCCTGGTCTGGGTCCCCCCAGGGCCGTGTCTGCCCCAGGTCAGCGGTGCGGTTTGCCCCTCCACAGCCATCTGGTGGGCCAGGTGGGCTGCACCTGTGACATGAGCCAGCCTTTGAGGGCAGGAGAGAGGGACCCCTCAAATGCATCACAGAAATGAATCACCCTTTGGACACCAGCCAATACGGAAGTGTGGTTGGGCCCCGCTGACAGGTCTGGGAGAAGTGAACTTCATGCCAGGGTCCTCGTGTCAGCTGGTGGGCCCTCTATACAGACTGGGAGCAGGACACGCGGGGCTGTGTCCAGCCTCCTGCCCTGTCCACACTTTGCCCACTGCTTCCTCCCTTGAGTCTGGCTGCTGGAACAGAGATTCTCACACGTGGACTTTCAAATGTGCACTGGCGCTTCAGTTGGGTTCTGAGAGACAGACGTGCCGGGTGCTCCCAGCTGGAGTTCCAGCCAGCCAGTCCCTGCAGACATGAGGCTTGAGGGTGTGGAGCCCGCGGCCGCCGTGTTGAGGCCTGTGACTCCACTGAGCTGGCTCCTTGGCTCATGGGGATCCGACAAGGGCTTCTTCATGCGGTGGGTCCTGGCATGGGGAGGCGGGCATGAAGACTGGGGGAGGGACCCGGAGTCTGGTGAGCTTCTGCAGTGCAGGCCACGCGCCACGATCAGGCGCTCCACCCTCGCTCTTGGTTGACGCGTGTTTGTATAAACAGCTGGAAGGATGTTGCGCAGCTGCCTTCCGCAGTGGGTGGTGTCTAGATGGCTCTGGCTGCTGGTGGCTGGCCGCTGGCGAATGTTCGTGTGTGTGAGAGAGCGCGAGCGAGAGAGAATTGGCGGATGTTCCGCATGGTGAGGGGTGGGGGAGGCAGCTCTGTGTTGGTGTGGCGTGGCCATGTCTGGTTTGGGCGGATATGTCCCAAGAGGTCTCTCCTGCCTTGGTTTGGTGGCGCCAAGATAGTAGCAGTGATTCTTCCTCCAGAGTCCCCGTTCCCTGCGAGTGGGGCAGTAGGGGTTCACAGTGAGAGCTTGGTCACGGTTGCTCCTTATGGGTCAGCTGTTTCTTCACACAGTGACCTGGTGAACTGGAGATGGGGTCGGGTCTTAGCCAGCAGCACACACACACCCTCTGCCAGGATGGCTGACAGTGGCAGCTGGGAGCCCGCCACTGGCTCAGCCCGTCATGGGGGTTCAGCAGGCTCAGGGGCAGGGAGGAGCCATCCCACAGTGGGTTGCCAGTGGCTTCATAATTCTGTCGTGACGCTGCTCAGGGAAGGGAAGGCTCACGACTGGAGAGGTACTGCCCCCAGACACAGGGCTGTTTCACTGCCCCGACCTTGCTTAGGATGGGGCAGGTTCCAGGAGCCTGAACTAAAAAGGCCTGTTCAGGCCTCTTTTTCTCCTGACACCTTGATTTAAACAGCACTGGTCTGGCATGTGGAGTCAGGGCCTGTGTTTCTGTGGGAGGTTCTCGGGGTGGCGTGGCATGGCAGGCGAGGCAGGCTGAGTCAGCCCCTCCCTGTCACCGTTTTGCCCGACGCCACATGGTGTTCCCTGCTCCGACTTTGGAAACCAAGGGTATGATCTCATAGACGCTGTCGCGACAGCCCTCACCAAGCTGGACTTGTCCTTCCTGCCTCTGCGTGTCTTCATGCTGTCCCCCTCATCCCTAGACCTCACTTCAAGGCCCTGTGGGTGCCATCTTCGTGGACGCCTGTTTCCACCCACACAGGGTGTTTCCCCTCCCCCAGGCCCCGCCCCTAGTCCCTGTGGACACCATCTCCATGGATTCCTGTTTCCACCCACGCAGGGTGCTCTGTGTGTACACACCAGCAACTTGCGCTTGAGCTCTGGTGTGAGCCCTTTAACAGCAAGACTGACCTTTCCTCTCACCTCTGTCTCCCGGGTATCCACAGGAACAGTCAGCTGTGTTTGACTGCGTGGCAGGTACGGGGCGGGCAGTGGCGTGCAGAGGATGGACACGGAACGTTCCGGGCATGTGCAGACAGCTGAGCGTGTCTGTGCTTTCATGATCTGGAAATCTTAACTCATCTCAACTGCCTTTTCTTTGCGCTCTCTGATGTCTGCTGTCCTGAGGGTCACCTAGGTGAGATGGAAAAGCTGAAGTTTGAAATGTCTGAGGAGCCAGGGCTTGCCTTCGTCAGGCGGTGGTTTGGGGAATCTTAACACAAATGAACTCGAGACTTGGGGCAGTGCCACTTGCTAGCTGTCTGAGTTCTGCAGCAGTCTTTTTTTCTGTGTGAGGTGTTCCTGTATGTATGTGCTCCAGTGGCAGGAACACTCCAAGATTCCGGAACCCTTGCTTCCCTAGTGGGGAGGCTGGGTCAGCAGGTGTGTGTGCTTGTGTATTTATTATGTTATTTGAAAGAAAATGAGTCTTATGTGGTATATGGGTGTTTCCATTTGGCAAGGAAGGTAGGGGACTTCTGAAACGCAGGCCTTAACCGCAGCTTGGAAGACGAGACCAATCGAAGCATCATGAAATAAATGTATGCGGCTCCTCTTGTTTCTGTCCTGGGTTTGTTGTTTTGTTCTTTAATTATTTGTTTCTGTCCTGGGTTTGTTGTTTTGTTCTTTAATTATGTTTAAAATCCCGTGCCTAAAAGTTTACTACGCCTAATAATGAAGTAGACTGCATGTTTACATTATGTAAAATATTTGCTGTGTAAAGTCTTTATTGTTTGTTCTCCGGAAAGATCACTCTGTTTAAATACAACTGAAGGTCAGCAATACGCCAGCGCCTGCTGGGTTTGTTCTCACTGGAAGCCCGTGGGCAGTGCAGGCCCCTGGAAGAGAGCCCGGGTGCTGCAGCCCTCGTGGCCAACTGGGCTGATTCCTTTTCAGTCGGTGCTTGTGGTCATCAGGAAGGGCACCTCAGCTTTTAAAAAGTGTGGCAGTCAAAGCTGAAGGGTGACTTTGGCGAGCCACTCCAAGTCGGGTGCTGTCTTGATCTGGAAAGGCAGGCAGGCACGGCTTGGTCTGAGAACTGCAAGGATTCAGCTGAATCCCAGGACATGCCCTACAGACACTTTAGTTCGCCAGATTCCTCCGGCCTGGAATGCCATGCCACCTGCACCCATGCACACGCACGTGGACTCGAATGGCCAGGTCGGCATGTGGCCAGACGCAGTCCATCCCTTCCATCGCCCACAGCCCTGCTTCGGCAGTGCTTGCGTGTGCCGTGGACACAGCTGCCCTGCTCAGCGGAACTCCTGGGACCATAATCACGTTCCTGTCGAGCGCTCTGTGGGGTCTTTAACGGGTGCTCAGTAAATGTGGACAGCAGAGCTCCATGTTGTTCGGCCGCTTCTTTTACCGTAGCACCAAAAGCCCCAAAACGACGCGTGAAGCCTCGGAGTCCTCGCTCCTGCCTGCAGCCTGTGCGGCTGGTCCCTTCTGCGGGAGACTGGCGCTGGCATGGCAGAGGCCCTCCCCACAGTCGCCTCGGCTGTGGGCGCCTTCGTGGTGTGCAGCAGACCGTCCCAACACAGCAGCTGCGGTGGCCTGCGTGGGTGGCGCCTACAGGACTGTGGGGCACCGGACAGCCCTGCCTCGCTGGCCCTCCTGCGCCTGGCAGGCGAGCGAGGCCCCACCGACCCCCGGGGTCGTGGCTGGCATGCTGGGACTTGCGCTCCCGTGTCCCCTCCCGCAGCTGGCACGTTGCCATGGCAAGGCAGAGGCCTGAGGGGGAGGTGGCACAAGGTGCTGCCATTGCTAACGAGCCCTTGGCCAAGTTCGGAACGGAGGGCTGGGGAGCATTGCCTCCGGTTGGCAGCAGTCGGATGTGTCAGAAGGGGTGTGGGGGAAGGGTCGGGGCTGTGAGCACCAGCGCCCCCACATCCACATGCCCTGTCCCACCATGGCCGAGAACCCCGGGCATGGATCTCCCAGCCCCTCCCAGCCTGGGAATTCTCCCTGCCCAGGAGGAGGTAAGACATTTCTGGGCATGGTTCCTGCAAAGGGTGCCACACACCAGCCCTGGCCCCGCTGGGCAGTTGGAACAGCCGCCATTCCGTGTCACGGGATCTGCTGGGTGGAAACTGGACTGAGCGTGGCTGGGCAAGTCTGCCCCTCAGGCTTCAGCTGAGGTCACTCGGTGGAGCCCAGCTGGCAGCCAGGGGGCCCGAGCTGGTGTTGCCTGCCTCTGGCACGTGGGTGCGGACGGCTGGCGCAGGCCCGTCCACGGGCCCTGCCTCTGCAGCTCCGCCTCTGGGGTCGTGGCCTTCCACGTTGCTGGCTCCCTCAAGACGAGAGTCCAAGCAGCTGCATGACTTCTGCCCAGCCTGGAAGCCATGGGGTGCTGTGGGTCAGTGTCCAGAGCGCCTGGATCGGCGGTTTGCGAGGACGGGCATGGTGGGGAGCGTCAGCCGCCACCAGGGCCCCCCAGCCTCCGTTCTTCACTTTCCGCCGTTGTCCTCAAGTGAGCCACCCACCCAGAACAGTGGCTCTTAAAAATGCCCTCAGGTCCAACAGCTTCGCATTTCCAAGGGCCTTGTTAGAAATGTACATTCTCAGGCCCATCCCAGACCTACTGAACTGGACAAGCCCGCAGGAGGTTCTGGTGAGCCTGCAGTCTTGAGTGCCACCTCCCAGGGTGAAACGGCCCCCCTCGCTGAGCCTCTAGCAGGGGCTGTGAATGACGGACGCCTTCAGTCTCCGTGCTGGACAGTGAAGGGTCGTGGGCGGGCTGTGAGCAGGCCCGCAGCATCAGAGACCTGAGTCCAGAAGAGCCAGGGAGGGAGGCAAGCCATTTCCACGTCCTTAAATGACGGAGCCTGAAGTACTTGCAGCTGAAATTCCCGCGATGCTCTTGTCTTGGCAGAATTCCGGCGTCACCTGGGCCCCTTGGCAGGTTCCCGCAGGGCCCGGTGGTGGGGCAGGGCCCCAGGCAGGAGCGTGGTTCCTTCCTCCTTCAGTAAGGTCACACTCTGGGCACTCTGTCAGTGTCCGGGTCCGGGCTTGGGGCAGCTGAGGAAAGCCCCAGGCAGCCTGGCCCTCTCTGTGGCTAGGTGGGGGTGGGGCAGGGGTGGCATCCTCAGCCCCGATGGTGGCACAGGAAGGCGCAGGGCAGTGAGCTGAGCTCCTGGTGCCCGTGGGCCGTGGTGGCCCCAGGTAACGGTCTCAGTGAGCTGCGGGACCCCAGCCTGTGAGCTGCGGAACTGTGGCTGCAGATAACCAGCGGGCTGGCCCCTCCACGGGGAGGGTGCATGTGCGCCAGTCGAGCTGTCGGCTCAGGCAGCCCAGGAGTGGCTGTGCATGTGGGAGACTCTTCAACAGTGTGGCCCTCCCTCCGTGCCCTTTGTGCTCCTAATAGAGTGACGGCCTGTGTGTCCTCAGCACTGGCCTCTGAGTCCTAGTGACCAGGCTTCCTTCAGAAACCTCACTTTGCTTACGGATGTGCCACGCAACAGCTTTGCAGGGGGACGAGGGGACCTGGGCCCAGGCCTGTCCCTACACCTCCCTGTTGTAGCCTGGAGAATCCTGGCGATGGGTCATCAGGGTCAGCTGAGCAGTGACGGCGAGTGGCCTGAGTGGTACAGTCTCCTTGGACCCCTGTTACTGGTAAAAGCATCAAAACCTGCCTAGCACTGAAAGTATTAGGTTGGTGCAAAGTAATTGCTGGTTGGACCTTGGATTCTAAATCATAACTAGGCTCAAACACATCTTTATTCATCGAAATAGGAAGCATTACGATCAACACAGTTAGCCAATGAGAAGTAAATTTATTTCTTCCTGTAGCATAAAAATCCGTGCTTCAGGGTTCAATGAGCTCTTGGAAAGGACTTTCTGCATCCCGCTGGTTGTAAAAGCGTCATCTTTGCAAACGGTTGTCAAGATGCTTGAGGAAGTGGTAGTTGGTTGGCGAGAGGTCAGACGAATATGGCGGATGGCGCAAAACCCCGTAGCCCAATTCATTCAGCTTGTGAAGCGTTGGTTGGGCAATGTGCGGTTGGGCACGTTGTTGTGGAGAAGAATCGAGCCCTTTCTGTTGCCCAATGCTGGCTGCAGGCGTTGCAGTTTTCGGTGCATCTCGTTGATATGCTGAGCATTCTTCTCATGTCATGGTTTAACCAGGATCCAGATAGCTGTCATGGATCAGATCGACAGCAGACCACCAAACAGTGACCATACCCTTTTTTGGCTGCAAGTTTGGCTTTGGGAAGCGCTTTGGAGGTTCTTCTCGGTCCAACCACTGGCTGGTCATTGCCGGTTGTCATATAAAATCCACTTTCGTTGCACATCACAATCTGATCGAGAAATGACTCGGCGTAGAATAAAAGAAGATGACACTTCAAAATGACAGTTTTTTTAAATTTTCGGGCAGCTCATGAGGCACCCACTTATCAAGCTTTTTCATCTTTCCAATTTGCTTCAAATGCCGAATGACCGTAGAATGGTCAACATTGAGTTCTTGGACAGCTTCTCGTGTGGTTGTAAGCAGATCAGCTCCGACGATTGCTCTCACTGGGTCATTATCAACCTCTGTGCTCCTATGCTCCTCACCTTCAAGGCTCTGTCTCCTTTGCAAAATTTCTTGAACCACCACTGCACTGTACGTGCGTTAGCAGTTCCAGGGCCAAACGCGTTATTGAGGTTGTGCGTTGTCTCTGCTGCTTTATGACCCATTTTGAACTCGAATAAGAAAATCACTCGAATTTGCTTTTTGTCTAACATCATTTTCATAGTATAAAATAAAGAGCAAGTAATAAGTCACTTGCAAAAAAGCACAAAGCGAGAAATGTGCATTAAAATGATGTATGACATGGCCACGTTTATTTAAGAATATATTCCAGTATCGGCAGATTTCAACAATGCAGAAACCGTAATTACGTTTGCACCAACCTAATACAAACATCAGCCCGGACTGACAGGGTGGAAGCCAGCCCTGCAGCCCTGCTCTCAGCCCTGGGAAAGCCAGTGCAAGGTCACAGGACGCACCGTCTCCCCCACCACAGTTGAAAAGCATCTCGGCACCCCTTTCCTTGAGTGATGACTGCTCTCTCTCCAGGGACGTGCCAGCCTGTCTTTGTTACTCCTGCCACCTGAAAATAGTCACTGTGAGACTTTGTGACCGATGTCATAGCTGTGGAAATGGCCACTGGAAAGCCCATCGGCAAGAAGGGCCCATCCGACCACCCTTCTCAGAAGGTTGGGGCCTCGTGTCAGTTCTAGCCCAGACAGAGAACCTCTGGGAGGCTTCAGGCTCGGCGCTCCCTGTCTTCAGGGCCAGGACCTGGGCCCGTCACAGCCCAGGCCTCGGTCAGCCCATCTGTGCCAGGGCCTGGCCCCGCTGCTCCGGTCCCTCCCACTGCCACCCAGCCCTTCCTGAGCCCAGGCCTGGCCCTGTCTCTTGGTTTGCGAGGTGCTTGCTGTTCCCATGCTGCACGGTTGCCCACGGCAAGCCAGCCATGTGACTCTGCTGACCCGTCCTTCCCTGGGGCACCAGGCAGGGGCACCGCGTGCACAGCATGTGCACAGCATGGCTGGCCCAGTACCCTGCTCCCCGTGTGGGCCCAAGCACCAGCCTCCACGGGGAAGAAAGACCCTGGGGACCCCACGGAGGTGATGGACTAAAGCCCTAAATACTGATGGTGACACAGAGAAAACCCGGCACTTCCCAACCCGTTCCTGGGGATCAGAACCTCCCACGGTGTCACTGAAATTCACCACAGCTTGACATGAGCGGCTGTGACTCCCAGGTTAGAGAGGAGAAGACAGACTCAGAGAAGCTCGGTAGGCGGAAGCGTGCGGGGCGGGTGAACAGCCTTTATTTCCTGGCTTCCTGCCCGGAAGCCAGCATGGAGGCATCTCCCAGGACATAGGTGGGGCTAAGGACGTGGCTGGCCGTGTGCCCGCCTCCGGGACGAGGTCCACCCGAGCACAGCAGGCTCGGGCCTGTCACCTTGCTGTGTACGAAACCCAGGACTGTCCCTCGACCCGCCGATCGATGAGCAAGTCCCACCAGGGCCTGCCAGGGGGTGAACTGCACCGTGGAGGTGTCGGCCTGGGACACTGAGCCCCCTCAGGAGAGCTGGACAGGGTGGGGGAGGCAGCCCCTCTAGAAGAGGGCACAGGGTGTGGGGACACAGCTGTGCAGAACAGACACGAGGGTCCCAGCACCCACAGGCGTCTGCAGAGAGGCGGGGCTCGGGCAGAGACGTCTCTGCCCAGGGACTGCCCTTGGCAGGGAGGGGCCCCTGGAGAGGACCCAGGGCAGCAGCTTCCTAGGGACCAAGGAGCACCGGCTGCCTGCCCAGGGTGGGCTTTCAGCGGTCACCCGTGCCCAAGTCTCCTGGACAGAAACGGACACGAGGGACACTGGCAAGACAGGTCAAAGTGCAGAGGGCACAGAGGTCAGGACGGCACTGGGGCTTGAAGGCGCGAGAACCACGCCTCAGCCTGGAGGGGCACGCTTCTCTCAGGAGGTGGGTGGGGTCTCCACACTTTTTTACAGTTGGCTCCTGGGGGCTCCACCCATGGGGTGGGCCCGAGCTGTGGCCCGAGAAGACAGGCCCCCTACCCGGTTTTGGGGATCCTAGGCTCGTGAGCCAGGCAGCTGGAGCCCTGGCGAGGAGCCTGTGCTGGCGGAGAGGCCTGTCCCCCGCCTCCCCAACTAGAGCCAGCGAGCGACAGCAGCCCTGCAGGCTAGGGTGTCCAGCAGTGCCACGCCAGGCCACAGCCGGGTGGGTGAAGCCCCGAAGGTGGTCTGCAGCCGCTCCGTGGCGCATGGTGGTGGCGGGACGGGTCCCGGCACTCAGGGTTAAGACGGGTGCAGTGGTCCTAGACGCTCCCGTCGAACTGAGCGAGCGGCAGTGTCTGTCCTTGTTTCCGTGGCACAGAGGCTGGCGGAAGCTGGGCCAGGCCGCACACAGCCAGCGGAATGCGGCAGGGAGCTGCCACCAGCCAAGTGGGGCAGCCGCCTCCAGGGCCTCACGTGAAGTAGCGGCAGGGCGTGGAGTCGATGTCGCAGTACCGGGTGCACCGCAGGTCTCCGTACGACCTGGGGAGGCAGAGACACGTCCACAGGCCACCCTGGCGACCCTGGCCAGGCCGACAAACTGCCCCGGTTGCCACCTTGCCAGGCCACGGCGGCCACCCCTAGCTGGGGCCACGGTCACCACTGCACGCAGGACCACGGATTCCGTGAGCAAGTTGCCCACTGCCATGTGGGGAGGGGACGTGGGGGAGCTGGACCTGGCCTGAGTCTTGCCTTGACCCAGCAGGGGTTGGGGTGGAAGGACTGGTAGCCCCTCTTGAAACACAGAATCTGTAAGAGACACCCAGACCCGAAAGGTTCCAGGGTCCCGAGGACACGCCACACAGAAGCAAATGCCCCCTGTTTCTGCAGCCCTGGCAGCCGTGGCTACGCAGCTCTCGAGATGTGGCCAGGGGGCTGAAGAGCTGAAGAAACAGGGGGCATTTGCTTCTGTGTGGCGTGTCCTCAGGACCCTGGAACCTTTCGGGTCTGGGTGTCTCTTACAGATTCTGTGTTTCAAGAGGGCTGCCATGCCGGACAGCACGGTCCAGACCTCTGTGAGCCGGAGTGCCAGCCCACGTCCCACAGTGTCCCTCTGCAGCATCCTGGGATGGGGCCAGAGCCACCAGGAGCCTGCTGGAGCCCCGTGCCCCGCACCCCTGCCTGCTGTCACGCGATGCTCATCTCCGTGGAGCCCCCGGAGGCTCAGGTTGGGCCTGGCAGGGCGGCGGCCATTCCGACTGAGGGGGGCTCCTGCTGCAGCGGGCAGCGCTCATACACGGGCAGGGCCCCGTCTGGGCTGGGACTGGGGTGCCTGTGACCTGGTCAGACATGCTGGCGTGTGTCTGGGCGCGAGTGGAACGGAGAGCGGAGGGCAGCAGGGAAGGCGGGGTCTGCCTCACGGGGCCTGGGCTGCCCCAGAGAGGAAGGGGCTGGGAGGAGACAGCCGCTGGCTGGGCAGAACGTCCACTCTGGACCCGGGAAGGGGTGGGCTTGGGCTGGTGGGGGGCGGGGGAGGGGAGGAGGCAGGGGAGAGGCGGGAAGGGGGAGCGAGGGAGGGGCC